AGTTATTCTTTTTCCTTTTGGATTTTAAAATTCTTCTACTTGACCGTCTCCACTTCATCTGTCAGTGGTGCTGGTGCAGGTTCTCCCCCCATTTTGCGAGCCTCTGCCTTCTTGCTGTCGACTGAGTACAAGTCAGTTGTTAATTTCATTACTCTAATTAAGAAATGTAACAGGTTTGATTAGAGAATATTTAATAAGCCTATGTGAAAAGAGCATTAAACTATGTGGGAAAAGCTGCTGCGCATTGAAATAGACACTGAATGATATTTGATAAGTCAAATGTTTGTAAAGTCATGTAGCCTACACCCATGAAACTTTTATGCTTAAAGCTTTACCTTGATTGAATTGTGTTTTATAATTCATTTTTAGATGCTGCTACATTCTTTTTCTTTTTTTGCCATGGGATACCATGAAAATGAAATTTAGTTAAATCATTTACAGTTTTCCCTGATATTATAACAGTGATTAAGAATTAAAGTTACGTATTGACTCGGAAGTATGCGGATATCTTTTTGTCTGTACTGTTGCCATGGTGAATCATAATTTCGGAGCTCCATTGATCATGACTTCTCATAGTCGTGGTGTACACGCTAAACTCAGAGTCAACTGAACTAACACAATTTAGCTGTTCTGAAACCGAAAACTCAGTTTCCCCATCTCAGGGTATGTCAACTCAGAGTTCAAGTTTTAACTCTGTTTGAACCTCCTTTCTGGAATACACCCCTGTACACACAAATACCATCTATTGTCTATTTTGTATATTGTGTATTTTGTTTTGTTTTTAAATATATATTTTTTGTTGTTATTTCCTATTTACTTATCCTATTTTTTTATTATTTTTATTATCTGTGTCTTGTCTTGTCACTGCCATTCTGTTTGTGCTGTGAAAGCTTCTGTCACCAAAACAAATTCCTTGTATGTGTAAACATACATGGCAATAAAGCACTTTCTGATTCTGATTTTAAATCACAATTTTATCAGAAAAATCGCAATTAGATTTTCCCCTAAATCGTGCAGCCCTCCAAAAAACTGAACTCAAAACAACAAGTTTCAGAATTCAATTCAATATCTAGTTTGACCTCTATGCAAGTTTACCATTGTCCTCCTTTCATTGTCCTGTCCGAACTAAATCTCCTGCAGATCAGTGAAGGGAGCTGGAGCAGAGACACGGGGCATCGATGGCTGCTGGCGTGCTGGCAGACATGAGAATATCTGACCCTGGGGTTTGCTCTAATACTGAACCACCTGTCATCTGTCTCATTAACATTCTGAACACACATACAGCCCTAGGTACAGGAGCACTGCTCCATTAAATCAAGGCCAAATCACAGTAAATAAACCACTCCATTACAGAGCAGTCTATTGCTATTGATTCCCACATACCTATCACTTTTCAAAGCTTTCCAGTGACTTGTCATTGTACTGTGTAATAATTTAGTGACACTGAATTATATGGTCGCACCTGCCATAGTTCAAAACAAACGAGTTTAGAATGCCAGAGGAAGCCTAGATGTCTCTGCTCTGACAAAACACAAACGTGTGAGAGAGAAGCGTGAAGCTCGGCGGTTTTATTTTCGGCCCACTCCCTCAGACTCCCGCTTCCTCTGATTGGTGCCAAGAATGCAGCCCAGCACAGGCAGGTTTATTTGGGCCACTTTCATTTATTTCTGCTCAGCAAAAACCCTCTGTTCCAACTCCTGCCTCTTCATCTCTCTTTCAGTTCTTCTCCAGCTGATCTCTTCCTCGGTCAAACCCTTTGTCTCTCCCATTCTTATCAGAACCCATTAAAAAGATTCTGCAATTGCTCGCACTGTTTTACAAACTGCTTTATTGCGTATTCACTTTATTACATCAAAATGTAAAGGAATAGTTCAAACAAAAATGAAGATTCTGTCATCATCATCGACTCATGTCGCTCCAAACCAGTATAACTTTATCCTTCTGTGGAATACAAATAAGAATTTTACTGGTTGCACTTTTTTCATGCAATTAGCTGGCACAAGGATGAGATTTTTAAGCTTAAAAAAATTACTATAATAAATCATAAAAGTGGTCTATAAGAATGCATGTGTTTTATTCCAAGTCAGTGTATGTATTACAGAAGACTTTTAAAGAACAGGTCATATGGGTTTTCGAAAAAATATATTTTTTTGCAGTTTGTAACGTAGCTATACTTCAATGTAAATAGCCTGCAAAGTAGTTAATCAAAAAAGTGCATGATAAATAATGATATTGTCTCTCAAAAGAAAGAGTCGACTCTGAACCGCCTTAACGAGTCGTCATATTTTCGAATCTTCTGCCTGTTGTTTCCGTCTCAAGGTAAAACATTTGCATAATCCCCGCCTGCCCGCGAAATACGAACACTCTGACCTGCCCACAAACACTTCCGCTAGTTAGTGTGGTTTTCCCGCGGAATTGGGCTACTTTAACATGGTTGCCGCTGGTTGTTTTTCATGTTTGCAGGTTGAAGCGACCCCAATAACGTGATAGTTAGCCCCTGGAATGCAAATTTTAGCAGGGGAACCCTAGTTTACATCATTTCGAGAAGACGCTGTCTTTTCAGCCTCACTGGGCATTCTAACACAGTTTCCACACGTGCACCTCAAATAAATAAATACTAATAATGAATGCAATAAAACGGCTGTCACATCAAGTAAAGTACCACATACAAAGTTTAAACTTACCACTGAGAAACGTCCTGATCAAGTCAAGCTTGCATGGAGTTTCCGGTTGAGCGACTGCATCTGTATCATCCTCGGACTTGGGCTCGAATTGATAAGGTAATATCGATACCATTTTTGTGAACTTATAGCATCTTTGTTTACAAGTAACCCTCTGGAGCAAAAAATTAATTATGGAAATGGGCGTTTCGTTTCCGACACGTATTGTATACGAAAAGACCAATCACAACAGACTTGGCCAGCTGACCAATGAGAGCAGAGTAGGCTTATGGATGGTAGGGGATTGCTCCGAACTTGCAACCGTTTAGAAATCATTGGCAAATGACTCTAATATTAAATGTATATTCTGAGAAAATTACAGTTTCCGACACGTATTGTATACGAAAAGACCAATCACAACAGACTTGGCCAGCTGACCAATCAGAGCAGAGTAGGCTTATGGATGGGAGGGGTTTACAGACCTTAAGCTCAGAAATGCTTTGAACGAATCGTTTCGAAATCATTGAAAAATGAATCTAATATTAAATGTATATATTCTCAGAAAATTACAATGTTTTCTGACCTTAGATGCATTTAAACCTGTTAGGGGACTCCAACACAATATTAGGACACTTTAAAATATCATATGACCTGCTTTTTAATGAAAAATTACTTTGATTTGGGTCTGTTTGTCTCACAACGTTAACATCTGTAGACTTGGAATATAAACACACAAGTAAGATTCCAACTTTTATGACAATTTTATGGTGGTTGTCCATACGTTTTGAATCTGGAAAGTCTCAGTCTCTGTTCACAGTAATTGCATGAAAAACAGCAACCAGTGCAATTCTTTAAAAATGCTTCTTACAGGTTTGGAGCAATAACGATTTAGGATTTTAAGACAAAACAAAACTTCACCAGGTCTTACAATTTAATTCTGCTATTGTGTTTTTTTTATTTTTTGAATGATGAACAATTTATTCAGGCAACCAAAAACATTTATTTGACACAAATCAGTCATTAGGCTCTGGCCAAATTGTTTTGATGCTAATAAAATATTTTACACTTCTGTATTAATTTATTGCATCAAACTTTGATCAGTCTTTAGTATAAAAGAACTACTTGGGTTACTTGGATACATACTATAGCGTTCCACAGTGACTAAAATGCATGTCTTGATCAACTCAGAAAAGACTGTAGTTGTCAAGAGTTTGTTCATGGGCCACTGACTTTGCCTGGAAATGAAACACTAAAAGTGCTGTAAAGTAGAGACAGAGCAAGATAGATGCTGTCTAATGGAGTTAAACAGCTTACTGCACCTAGGGAAGAGAAAAGCAATTTACAGATGCCTGTGTAGCTAACCATGGATGTCTCATCATAAGTGAGCAAATGTGAATATATGTTGCTGAATAAATGCAGCTCAAAGCAATGTTGTGAAGTAGTGAAGTGTCATGTGGCCAAGTATGGTGACCCATACTCGGAATTAGTGCTCTGCATTTATCCATCCAAACACACACACAGCAGTGAACACACACACACCGTGAACACACACCCGGAGCAGTGGGTAGCCATTTTTTGCTGCGGCGCCCGGGGAGCAGTTGGGGGTTCGGTCCATGATGGGAGTAACCTCAGAAAAAACATTCAGAAGGTCAAACGAGCAACAATAAATGTAAAAAGTGCCCAGCTGGCACACTCTTCATCTGTCACGGTTTGTATCTAGGGGATTTTGGTGTCCTATATGTCAGGCATGCTTTAGATCACATGGATGGACATCCTTACAAACAGCTCAGCAATAAGAGGAATACTTCAGAGTGGTCTCTAGGCAGACAGCTGGGAATGGGGTGTGTTGAATGGCCTCAAGCATGTTCAGTGTAGTCAAGTTTTCCAGGCCAAACTGAGTTACTGCAAGCTACAGGAGGTAATGTTTCCCACCTGAAGCTGCTGTACCTTTGTCACTTCTATCTTATTACACATTATGCCCTCCCAGTTTATTGCATGTTCAGTCAGGAATGGGGCTGAAATGTAATCATTTTATATCCAGTAAATATAATAATAATAATATATTCTACAGCTTTACTGGATATAAAATGATTACATTTCAATTAATTCCTGGCTGAACATGCAATAAAATGGAAGAGCTACTGATGGGATGACCAATAATAATAATAATAATGATGGTAGAGCAGCAGCAACAAAAACGACGACAACAACAACAATACTCCTTCCTACTTGTCTCTCAGCTGATCCAATACAAATATATCCTATAATCTTTGGTCAAATGACTTGTTATATCTCAATATTCATCGGGTCCGAACAGAGCTGGGGAAAAAAGATTTTAAATATAATGCTTCAGTTGCTTGGAGTAATCTACAAAATAATCTTAAACTGAACATACTTCCATCTTTAAATTAGTTCAAGGTACTTTTAACAGATTCTTTGCTTTATCCCCTGGTGAAATGTTTTGATGTTGTAATGTACATTTTTGTATATTTTATGTTAATTGTTGCTGCCCTCTTGGCCAGGTAAATCTTGTAAAAGAGATTTTAATCTCAACAAGTTATTTAACCTGGTTAAATAAAGGAAAAGAATGAATGAATGAACTTGTGTAATGAATGAATGAATTATTATCATTTTATGCATAACATATAATATATAAAGGAATTAAAAATTAAATAACACGATTAAGCTTTGCAAACTTTTAAGTTTAATGAAAGTTGTACAATATAACCATCTGCCATACAAACACACATGCTTGATAAATACTCCCATTCTGAGTGGAAAAAAATGCCTTACATTGCAAAAGTTTGTCAAGTTTTAAAACTTACTATAAAATATACACTATCGTGACCACACCCATGTGAGGAATGACATCTGAAGACCACATCCTCTGCGGTCACAACCACTGCACTTTAAGAGGGCGAACAAGGCACAAGCTTGCAAAGATCATAAAGTCTGTACTTTCCAGAAAGATTCCAAACAAAACACAGTCTGAATCCAGTAAAGATTCTACATTTTAGAAATCGCCTGTGGTGTTCCACTTTGGATAAAAGCATCTTCCTAAATGACTAAATGTGTTAAGAGAAACCACTGCACATATATCAACCTCTGAATAACACATCCAGAGCTGATCTCTATATACATCTCATACTTGACATTTCTGTAGTGTGCGAGGCAAAATAAAACTGCTTACAGTTAAAACACTCATCACAAGGTGTCACAACATTCAAATCCAATCAAACGCTCTCAGGTAGTGACTAACTTTTATTATAGACTTCAACAGTTGGTGTACTTTCTTCGTAGCAGATACAACATTTTTTTTCCCCTTAACAAGCTGCTTTTACATTCCATCAGTGGTATTTAGGACTAGTAGACAGATGCTTTTAAACTATTAAAAATATTTTAAATTAGTTAAAAAACATGAATGCAATGTGAGAAACTGAGGACCAGGCAACTGTCAAACTGCAGTAATGCAACACTTCAGTGTACCAGGTCAACATGCCACAGTGGAAATAGGGATCTGGATTCTGTGACGTTACAAGAGGACGAGCCCCTGGGTATTTCCCTGATCTGGTGCTGTCCATCACCATTCTGAAAACATATCACATTTTCAGGTTCTCCAATGTTTATCAGGCTGTTTATCAAACTCACAAGAGTCTAACTTGATTTACAGAGTGACTTCTTCTCAAACACTTTATGAAGCCATAGAGAAGCTCAGATTTTCATGTAGAGGTACATGCAGAAAATGTCTAACCAGAGAGTGTATGTTGAAATTACACTACACAATCCTATAATTAGGATGACATGACTAGCTTTGCATGGTTCTTACTGTGATTTGATGCCCTATAGTGGATAAATTTACATTTTTCTTTTTGGGAACGAACTAGCAATTAGTGACTTGAAGCTGCGGGGAGAAGTAGCCAAGCATAGTTTTCCCATTATGGTGCTGTCAGTGAGTCCACCATACTTTCTGTGCATCTCTGCCTGTCTTTATTAGCTCTTCAAATAAATAAAACCTGAAATATCTACCCTGATTTCTACAGAACCCTTCATTGGATGGATACTATGTCAAATCAACAAAGCCATGTAAAGAATCCACATTTATAATGCAAATAAAACGCTCACCTAGATATTCCATCAGCTGCTCTGCCGTTATAATCTCCATCATTGGTGGCAGCTTGACCTGTGCCAGAACCAGAGAAAAATCATTTTAAAACTAGTTTGAATGACAAATTGCCTATGGCCATATATGAGACCTCTTTTCCTTCAGCAATGATGTTATGTAATACACATACATAAGGGTTATGGTAAATAGGCTGCTGTATCAGCATAAATGCACTATGAGAAGAGATTTTTATCCAAAAATAAAAACGAAACAACAACCATCGTAAAAACAGCCTGAACGTGGCTATCATCTCCAGAAGATGTCAGTGGCTTTTAAAGCAGTCAAAGCTGAAAAACATAGTGCCTCTTTTTTCAAGATGAAAGACTGAGCACTGAAATAGCGCCTCATGTGCCTGCCAACTCACTGTCAAAGCCAATAATTAAATGTAATCTTTATAATGCAAATGAGTCCAGCGCTGAAAGCCAGAAGTTATTGGTGTGTCTGTAAAATGACTGTTTCGAACCAAACCAAAATACTGGTATGGCTCTACAAATACATGTCAAAGGGGATGTTTTTTAAAAAATATGGAAAGAGAGAGAGAAATCTGAAGGTGAAGACAGAATCCAAACAGAATTTCAAGTGAAACCCAATTAACTCACTAGTTTTCAGTCCAAATACTATTACAAAACATAAGAGGAAAAAGATGTATTTCAGTCCTAATCACACTTTATGTCTTCACATTTTTGAAATCTGAAGGTGAAGACAGAATCCAAACAGAATTTCAAGTGAAACCCAATTAACTCACTAGTTTTCACTGTCCAAATACTATTACAAAACATAAGAGGAAAAAGATGTATTTCAGTCCTAATCACACTTTATGTCTTCACATTTTTACAAGTTTCTTTACTAAAAGTTGCATTTTGTTTCATCACTCATGCTTCTTGTTTAGACATTTTTTTAATCAGCAGAAGTTGGACTTCTTTTGACTGGGGTAATCGCATGCATACAGTTCCATGCCATCGCTACATAAAGCAAATATATTATTACAATTTTTATTAATAATATATTAATATATATTACCCCGTGAGTGTACATTTTAATCAAATATCTCAAAAGTGATGTTCATGTCTTTCTGTGAAACTTTTTAATAAACGATCAATGTCTTAAAGCGCCTTTATTTAATGGCAGTGACAACTGATGTCTCGTGACTATTGCGCTTATTAAGTAGACAAACACAATACAATAAAAAGTTTCAAAGGACAATTGGATCACCGGGCAAAACACAGCATTTGCACATCTATAACTTGGGTGGTATTGTGAGCTGTCAAACGAGCAGACTCTCAACTTATTTACCTTCCATGACAATAGCAGGACATTCATAATAGCTAGCAGCGGACACGGCCCGTTCTCATTCTGTGTGATGATAGGCGTGTTCTCCTCCTTCCACTTTATCCACTTGATGTGGTACAACGACTGACCGGTCACCCTGTCTTTAGGACAGGGGATTTTCGTTACATCAGCCCCGTATTCACTCTGACTTGCCAAAGCCAGTCCCTTGTCCTCCAGCCCTTCGCTGTTGAGGTCTGAACTCGGGCAGGAGTTCAGATTTGAGAAGGACTCTAGTGAATCAAAGCTGCGGGACTCTCCTGCGATGCTGGGCTCACTACCACTCGGAGGACCCTCGGAAACGGTGTTATCGTTTGAATTCGAGTTAGCAGATTTTGCTTTGTCCGAACACAAATAAGCCGACTTGGCCAGCTTCGTCGCTTCTTGCGTACCTCCATCCAAACCGTCCGCCTGCACATTATTGTCGTCGGGTTGCTCTCCCGTGAGGTTGTTTACTAACTTTGAGGTGCCACCCTCCTTATTCCCAGCAGCGGTCATCGACGGTTCGTATACCATCCCGTTACTCATCTGATCCGCTGCATCGGGCGACAGTGTCTCTGGTAAAGCGTTCGGTTGTCCGCTTTTGCTTACTGTCTCAGCAGCATCTGATGTCTGTGTACAGGGTGTAGCATTAGCACCGCTAGCACTTGCACAAGTACTCAGAGTCTCTCTCCTCTCGCAGGCATCTTTCATTCCGCCCACTGTTTTAATATCCGCGGGTTCTGCGGGAATAGCGGTGCACAGGACACTTCCTCCTGCGTCTCGATGAGGGTTTGCGTTCTTCTCCATTTCGCTGAACGCATCGACGACAACCTTTGACTAGATAGCAAGCTCCAGTCTCAGCTCCGACGACGCCATGACATCTCCACCTCTGACGTCACCCCTTCATGGACACTTATTTACCGAGTCCGACTATACACAACCACTGACTGTATGTGACATTTTGCTAGCAACTTAAAGGGATAGTTCATCCAGACATGAGAATTATGTCATCGTTTACTCACAGTTTTTTGTCCCAAACAGGACTTTTTCTTACGTGAAGCACAAAAGGAGACGTCAGGCAGAACCTTAGACTGACAGTCTGAGGCAAAGAAAGTGAATGGAGAATGAGCCTGTTATTCTGCCTAACATCTTTTTTGGTAGTCCACTTGAAAAAGAAAGTCATATAGGTTTGGAACAGCATGGGATGAGTAAATAATGACAGAATAGTAAATAATGTTGTTTTTTAGGCGAACTATCATTTAAATTAACATATAGGCCAAAACGACTTCTGAAAGTCACTCGAGCATTTACCCAATAACAGCATAATAACTATTATATTAATATTGGTTGTTAGTTAGTCTACTTATTTTTCAAGGTTTAAAATCCAAGGTTTTAAAAGAAAAACATTTTTTATATGTGTTCTTTGGAGCCCAATTTACATCGTTTTATTTAATCTGTGTGGCAGCCCTTGGATTTCTTCAAATCTGTATAATAGGCTACCTCTCTGTAACTTTACGTAAAATGTTCTTGTTCTTTAATTTGTTTTGTTTCTTTGTTTATGCTGTTATTATCGTTGTTGTTTTGTTCGTATCCATTATTTTGTATTTTGTGTAAAAAACCTAAAATGAAAAAAAAGGAAGATGTCTAACTGTCTGTCACGCAAAGTTTATACACGCGATGGATTAATGTAATCTTTCGTGGATTAGAATTTCTCCTCACTATATATATCGTGATCACGTGTGGAAGATTGTATGTCTGTCATGAACATCACGCAGTATATTCCACAGCAAACCCATCTAGTAATGTTTCTATCCACCGCACGATGGCAACATTGACTAAGATATTGTTCATCATTCTTTGCTCCCTATAATGCGAACGTGTACAGTCTTAACTGTAAAAATTTGTCCCCAAAAGTGAGGTAAATGTGACAAAGCCCCAATTTAGAGACGTTCTCGTTTATAAAAGCGACCTGTAAAGGACGTAGATTTATTCTAAAAGTGCAAAAACTTTTCTGTTATGGTTAGGGATTGAGTCAGTCTATTTATTAATAACTATGTATACCAACAATTTGAATATGGAATGTCTGCATTTAGATAGTCGAGGGGCCTTTCATTTAGCTGTGGGTGAGTAAAATACAAATTGCAAATTGTTTCTTGGTTTTCTGTTGCAAGGAAAGAAAACTACCACTACTATTTTTCCAACCTTATGTTTTATTGTAACCAAATTCTGTTTTAGCATGTCTAATTATTTGAAAGCATAAAACAAGTTTTACAATAATATAAAAACAATAATTTATTCTTACAATAGCCTTATGATTTTTTGCTCAAAAATTCTTCAATTTTTTGGAAAATAAAGGTAATTTAATATTACAATTAAAACATTGAAGAAATATTGAATGCTTATTCCTTAAAAATAAGGTTTTAATAATTTTAGTAGTAGTAGTAGCAGCCTGTTACATACATTCTACTCAACAATAGTAATATATTTCTGCCAATGCCCTCGAATTATATATATATATATATATATATAGTAAAGACCTAGTACAGTCTAGTTTGCACTTATATCATTATTTGTATTTTATTTTCTTGTTAATTGTTATATATGATTTCTTTCTCATTTTTAAATTGTGCATCTGTAGAGTTGGAAATGACTGTTGTGAATGTGGAATGTGGTGTTGTGTTTTGTGCATTGAAGCTGCCGTGAAAATGTAATTTCCTGTAAAGGATCAATAAAGTATCTAATAATGACAAGATCCATAGATAAATTAGAATGGCAATTCGTTTTTTTTTTTTTCCCCATTTATTTATTGACAAATAAACTGTACTAAAATTATTATACATCAATAATCAATAATTATTAAAATTATTATGAAGTATTTTGTATGAGAAAGGATCTCAATGAACCACACCCAAGGTTAATTATATTTTTTAACAGCTGTCATATTGTCCTCCAATTTAATACATTTAATTAAGTTCAACCATAGACTGTATAAAAACAGAGTTCAACACAAGTCTCGGAGTGGGCGTGGCTTTCCGCTCTGCCTGCGCCTGACGTCAGGCCGTTAGAGACAAGCGCGGAGCCGAGGCCGCACAGCCGCAGCCGTCACACATACACACACACACGAACACTCACCGAGGGCGACTGCGCCTTTAAGACCCGCAAAACTAACTGCCAAACCAGCCTCGGTGTCAATGTGCGAGCGATGAAATTACTCGATATGGTTTTGTTAAAACTCTTGATGCTGTTATACTGCTTAAGCGACACCAAAGGTAAGTGGGTTTTGCTTTAGTTCTGGAAAAAGTGACGGCTAATCGGATTGTGCTTTAGCTGAAGTGAGCTAGTATGGGAGGGGTGAACATACAGAGACTGAGCGTGAGTGCGGAAGTGAAACTAAAAACTAAAATACACAACTTTTACAGTTAAACACGTGGAATTCGATGTTTATTCAAATAACAGCATTATTATTAGACAGTGTGATGAGGTGTTTTCAAAATGACTTGGAGTGGGATATTTCAGAAGAATGACAATAAATGTCCTAGCTAGCTGTCAAAGACAGTCCGGCTAGCTAATTTAACGAGTGCATTCACGAGTGGAGTAAACAGGAGTGGAGACTGATAATAAATTCATTCAAATTATACGTTTCTGTCCTGTTTGCACTCTTGGTTTGTTATTTCAGGAATGCGTTGACGAGTGCGCAATGTTTGTGAGAGTTGGTGTTAGGGGAAAAAAAGGAGGGCGAAATGAAAGACTACACACCTTTCCTGTTATTTCCACACAAGAGACGAGAGTGTTGTTGCTAGTCTAGTTCACTTGTGTTTTACTTGAGAGTTTGTACGTTTGTTTCCATAAAATTAACTTTAGAAAATGCATCAAAAAGTAAAAAAAAAAAAAAAACTAGTAAAAAAAAAAAAGTACAAGAAAACGTTCTAGAATATATTAAGCTCATGGCTATAGTTTGGGACAGGCTTAGTCTGTAGTGACTATAATTAACATTGTTTACTAACAGCAGAAGTCAGTTGTAAGTCACCCTTTAGCTAGCCGGATTGGCATGGCTGTGTGTGTTCAGACACAGAGCTGCTGCAGACACTTCAAGAAATTCATTTCACCATAGATTGTTGTACACTTTCTATAAGGTGAAGTTCAGATTTCTTCTAAAACAGTGAACATACTGTGCCTTCCTTCCTTGCTGTCAGACAGGAAGTGATGACATTGGAGTAGTGCTTTGAGTTTTATCTCTGTCTTTATCACTATCAGTCATCCTTACTTTCTTATTTAAATGTCTGTTACTTCTCCACAGCCAAGCTTTCTTGGGCTGCCGAAGATAGCGAATTCTGAAGAAGATGTTCTTAATCAAGATGTTTAATTTTATCTGTTTGTTTGTATGCATTAGTATTTTCTTGCTTACTAAAGTCCATTGGACAATGACCTGATTTATTAGGATGAAATACTGTTCATTCCTTTATTAGTAGGCTTTCTTGGCTGTTCAGCTATGTTAACGGACCTGTTTTGGCTCAGCTAAGTTTGTTGCTATGGGATTTTATGTTTTCCAGAGTATTTGGTGTCCATCTATTTCTTGTTGCCCTGGGCTAAAGACTTAAACACTGTCTGCCACCATTTTTCCTCCTTGTTGTCACTGATTGCCTAGATCTCAATGGTGTCTCACATTCTTTTCATTCATTTTTTTAAATCTCCCATTTAATATTAATTAATTAATTCATTCATTCATTCATGCATAGAGGGAAAAAAAAGGAAAGCTTTGTTCAAGTTTATTTCCAAGCCGTTTTAGGATGTGTTTGCACTTGTAGTTTGGTTCTCTTTTGGTCCGAAATGAAAAAGTAAATTACACATTTAGTCCTGGTTCACTTAGCATTCACACTGTAATTTTTAACACTGAACCTAAAGATACAAAAGGCATAAGCACACAGTCACAACCTGATTGGACATCTTTTATGGCGTATATTTTGTATGTGTGTATGGTGATATGACCGTTTTTACCAGCTAATGGCAGTTCACACTAACAGAACCACGCTAACAGAGCAATCGCACCAGAGTTTGTTTTAATCGAATCAAACCTGCCAAATGTAAACATGCCCTTAGATGAATCATAAACATGTTTAATTAATTTCTCAAGATGCGGGCCACATTACTCCTTTTTATGTTTAGTATCCATTTTGAGGCTCTTTCTTGCTTTTGTTAGCCATTGTCCATACGTAGTGTCGTCTGTTTGAGATTAATGGTGCCTGTGTATACTGTGGGAAGTTGATGGAGATTACACCATCCAGTGATGAAATGGCTTGTTATTGAGCAACTTGAATACTCCCCCATGCATCTAGCCAGTTGAAAAGCAAGTCAACTACGCACAAATGCAAATGCTTTTGTAAGCCGGATTGCAATGTTATGTGATTCTGGTTGTTTTCATGTGGTTGGCAGCTTCTTCAATTTGCTAGATGGTTCCTACCACAAAGATGCCTTCTTGTATGATGTGCCCAGGGTCTAGCATTTACAGTCACCAGTGAGAATTGTTTTATGCTGGTAAATACAACTTACATTTGATGCTGATTTTTGTTGTAAATGATGTGAATGCTAAAAATAATTTATAACTCTGCAAAAAATGTACTGTCCGATTTTTATGTAGGTTATCTAAATCTTTTTATTGGTCTTCAGAACTCTGTTCGGGAGCACATATGTGGACAATTTCTGGCACTTAACCACCAAAACAAAAATATGAGGTGCAAAATCTTAATGTGCTTGTGACAGGTGCAATTTCACTGCAAGTATGGAAGGTTAAAAGATATTTTTTTGCAAAATATCCAGTGGATAAAAACAGAACAAAAAGATATTGTTGAGACTTCATGAGAGCAATGGATAGAATACAGATTTACAGAGGAAATAGGTTCCTCGCCAGTGCTAGTCGTAGACAACA